GTATCACAAAACAAAATTGAAAAATAGTCGGCGATAAACAATGGCAATAAAGGAAGAGAGCATTCCTCGGAACCGTGAACCGTGCTCAGTAAGTGAGAGTTGTCTGCGAAATATTTTCATCAACAAATACAGATACAGAATATTANGGCCAGACGTAGGGGAAAGGTTCAGGCTGAACCGTTCAGCACAGCGCAGCGTCAGTCACCGGGTGGGGAAGAGAGTCCGGGAGGGGACACTTCCCCTCGAGTGAAATAGAAAAAGGCAGAATCCTTCGAAGTTTATATTAATGATACCTATTCTCTCGCAGTTGTGTCAATTTCTCACTCTGTCGCGTTTACTTCCTTATATCATTAATATTCTTATCTCGTTATTATCAATACTTTCAGCTCAGTGAATACTTGAACAAAAGTCTCCGGATGTTTGCAGACGCAATTATGACGCAATAATTGGTAGTAAAGGAAACTTCGCTATTTCATATAAGGGTAAAAATTCATGTGAACTTTAATTCAAAATATATTTTTCAATCCAAAGTTCGACTATTTTTCTACTATGCTAGGCTAAAAATGGCCATTTATGTATTTCATTTAAAACGTACTATCCCTCCATAGCCTCCGACCCCAATGATTGTGTCAATGATCCTTTGTCAACTTCACGTCGTTATTCATCCAACTTTTGAGAAGTCTGAGCTCCTATACGGTCGTAACCACTCCAATCTGTGCAGGTCACTCTAAAAAAAATAAAGAATGTTTGCGTCTTCAAGTGAATAAGCTTCAAATTTGCCGCCGCGCTTGTGATAAAGTTTCCAACTTTGAGAGAACGGGAATCAGTAACGTGGCGTGAATTGCGATGTATCGTTTGTTTTGCCATTTAAACCTACGGTAAAGAATCGATTATTAAGGTGTTCGCTGCGAAGACCCTGTCTATCGATCTATTTCCATAGGTTTAAATGGTATAACAATCGATTTATCGCAAAGCACGCCACGCCACTGACGGGAATAGGTGTTGTCTCAAAGTTGAAAGGCTTCTGCATTACCTGGAGGAGATGCCAGAAACCAATTAGACTTCATTTTGTAATAAGGAACTACAATTTCTGGCTCATCCGTAAAAACACTTATGAACATAGAGAAACTAATGGTACGTCCGTTGTTTCTAAACTGAGTCAGAAATTGTCGTTCCTAACTGCGAAATGTCGTCCGATTCATACACGGAGAAAAAAACCTCGTGCGTGGGACCCGAAGTTCAGGTCATATGGATCTCTGAAGTTTTCGGATTGAGCATCTGAACACTTTAGATCCAGCTATCGAGGTTCGGATCACACATCTGAAACTTCAGTTCTTACATCTGAAGTACTTCAGATGTGAGAACCGAAGTTTTCGGATGTGAGAACCGAAGTTTTTCGGATGTGAAAACCGAAGTACTTCAGATGTAAGAACTGAAGTTTCAGATGTGTGATCCAAACCTCAGCAGCTGGACCTAAAGTGCTCAGATGCTCAATCCGAAAACTTCAGAGATCCATATGACCTAAACTTCGGGTCCCACGCACGAAGTTTTTTTCTCCGTGTACTCTAGTCAAAAAGGCCCAACAGTTGGGACCGCCTCAGAGAGTCTTCATAGTAGCGTTGAAATTGCGGAAACGACTTAACTGAAGAAAGATTTTTGAAAACCATGTTACATTAAGTATGTGTAATTGACTGGCCCGGGATGTACTAAAATCATTGGTGAACGGCTCTTGTAGCTCTCTTCGGTGTGTTTTCAGTCTGAATGAGACTTTCTGTGTAAAGCACTTGAAAATACTTGAGCTGCTACCTGGCTCGGATAATAGCCATGTGAGACAGTGGCGTGGCGTGAATGATCGATTATCGATATTTCCCTATTTTAAAGTACGGTGAAGATCGATTATTAAGGTGTTCGTTGCGAACACCCTGTGTATCGATCTTTTTCCATAGATTAAAATGGCAGATCCATCGATATATCGCAAAGCACGCCACGCCACTGAATAACGCCCGCGACCCAAAGACCAACGGGTCGTGTATACTCGTATCCTCGTGCTAGTATACTAAGTACTTTGATTTGTATTCATGTCAAGCACGATTCAGTCGCTGCAATACAACAAAAAATGTGTACAGGCATCAAATCGAGCGTGCCCCATCAGAATCTTCAGGTCATACAACATGTGGGGGTTAGAGGGGAGTGTAAATAATATGGTTTCTTGTTTGTATACTGCAAACTGCACAATACAATGTATACCGATGGGTGATAAAGTCAAGCTCACAAAATACTAGGCAGACTAAGCTGCAGTGGTCCCCATGTAATGTTTGGTGTTTTGTGGGAGGGGAAGGGGCGTTGTTTGATCGGCTAGTCGTCTGGAACATTTTAAAAACTAACGATCAGATCTCCTTCAGAAGCCTTTGGAGGCTACCCTGATACGATATATTAAATCTCCCCGACGTTTCTGACCCGAATTTCCCTCTAGAAAGAATCTTTTACTGATGCAAATCATAATTCAAACTAAAAAATCAAAAATTTATTCAGTATTATTGAATAAGATTTTAGTAAAAAGTTGTTCAGAGTACGCTCAGTCAGTGTATCTGAGTTTTTTTTATGTCGAAGCAAAGAAAAATAGGATCTATATCATGAAAATTTAAAAGAAAATTAGCCTGTCTATTCTTTCGCATAGAGAGGTTAACTTCTGTATCATAACCCCCTCCCCCTCCCCCATGGAACATCCAAAAATTATCTTTTAAAGAGAATTCCGAATTTTGAGGGAGAGAAAGAGAGAGAGGTTCTGCGTCATCGATCAAAAACATATGAAAGTAAACCGGTGAAAAAGCTGAATTTTTAGGATGATTCTACTATCAAGAGTCTAATCCACATCGATAAAAATGAACTTCTGACCATATATTGACGAAGTTTCATCCTGAACTTAAAGTACCTACCTTTAAATTCAATTTGTATAGAAATCATGAATTAGCATACCTAATTCAAAATTTTGCCTTTATGTAACAGAAAACAGCTAGTGCCGCTGAGCCTCGTCAAGATAGCAACGGCCAGCGCTGTAGCCAGATTTAGACACAGTTCATTTCAAACACTTGTAACACTTTTTTAAACACATTTTACGACCTAAAATTTTACCCGGTGGCCTTGAAAGAATTAGAAAGCAGTTAGGGTCATATGTAGAGAAATGACACTTTTAAATCAAAAGTGTCATTGGATTGCGGTTTTTTTCTGTATTGAAAATTTTGAAGTAAGAATCCGCAAGTCGAAAGTTTCCCTTCCCTAACCTCATAACATTTTTAAAATTTTCGGAAGGATAACCGTGGATACCTCTCCTTATTTAGACACTTTCTGCAGGGCCTTCCAACCAGACAGCGGTCAGATTTTGAAAGTATCATAGGAGAATATCAGCAGCGGGGCGTGAGTGATCAACACTGGAAAAAAAAATAAAAACACATTTGATCTAGAGTCCAGACTCTTGAAAACATTGACAAACAAAAAATACTCTTAATTCAATCAGATTTTTGCTTAAATCAAAAGGAAATTCGTTCAAATTAAGGGGCTTGGTTCTTGATCTAAGCAAAAATCCGATTGAATCAAGAGTATTTTTTCTTGTCGATGTTTTTAAGAGTCTGGACTCTAGATACAATGCGTTTTGTTCCAGTGAATGATCATTGATATTTCCTTATTTCGCCGCTTGGCTGACATAAGGGCGGAACTACACATTGAGATGAGCCCGGAAAAGCATTGAAATGTTTGGAAGACAGGGTTCATTGCAAAGTGTAGTTACGCCCTTATGTCAGGTGGGTGACGTTTTGAGGCTATGTCAGAGAGTCGATTATGAAGCTTTTCGTTGCGAACACCCTGATTATCGGTCCTTTTTCATAGTTTTAAATGGCAGACCAATCGACACAAAACGCCATTGGAGAACAATCGGTTTGCTTGGACAGACATTAATTCATTAAATCTTGCTCCGATGAGGCAACGGGCGAGACAAAGTTGCTCGATTTGCGGAATTGCAATTGTTAAATTGGACGCATTTACGAAAAGACAGCTTATCTACAAGGAAAATATAAAGGAGGATAGTCTTTTTTCCGTTAATACGTTCAATTAATTGTATTTCATTTAACTCTGCATGGTCTGTTGAAAGGTCACTTAAGGTCTTCATTGCGGTTATCATATTATTGAACTCATATGATCACCCATTGACAAGGCATTTCATGCATGGAAAAATAAGGTTAGCTCACAAGCTGCTGGCCAGTAGACTGAAAAAAAATACAGTGGACTCCAGAATGAGTTGAAGGTTAGTTATAGATAGGTAGTTTGAATATTTTAATACTTCGTTACATTTTGGAATTTCGCATTCACGCAGCCTTATGCTCTGAAAAATATGGGGCCTACAATGATCGAATTCATTTCACAAAATTTAGATGTACGAGGGATTATAAATATATGGGGTGTTTTAACTAACCATTCGATTGAATATTTTAATTGGTTTTGTATCAAATTTTACGTTAGTATCTTCCCTCTTCGTCAAACAAAAATCTTATTGTCAGTGGCAACGGATATGATCAGATCATGGATGGTTTTTAGAGGTATCATGATGGTATTTGCGGAGGTGAGGGTTGAATATAATCAATCATAGTAAATTACGACAAGAATTATTAAAGTTGCGAATAGAGGTATGTGTATTGTTAGGTTATTTCTTTTTCCTCCCTCCTCTCTCCAATAAAATGAGTGGCGGTTGAATGCAAGCTGCGTTGTGATCACCTGACGCCACCGCGCCTTCAAAAACTCGGTTAGCCACACTGTATACTCTGAGAAAGTTTTTTTTTTTTTTTTTTTTTTTTTTTTTTTTTTATGATGTCTATTTAATTACATACAGTAAGCACTTGTATTCAAAATGGAAATAAATAATAAATTGTTTAAATTATCAGTGTCAGAATCAGCCGATGTTTTAATGTTGAAAATAAGTATTCGAAACGAAGAAGTAAATTTTCACTCACCATTAGATGTACAGATTTGATTTTTTTTTCTCTTCCTACGTCTCAGGGAAATTTTCACGATCTAGGAAATGATTTTGGAGAAAAAGTGTGCAACAACAAATTTAAGCTACGATAAAAGTTCAAGTAATAACGAGGAACAATGAACGGTTTCCGTAATGAGAGTAAGACAAAAGAGATCGAATAAATGTAAAAAATGTAAATGAAAATCAGTGAGTCCGAAACAAATGTAATTGAACACAAAACATGATTGATTCGTTGAGAGGTGCGCGACAAACTGTTTAAATGAGGTGTTTTTCTCAATGACTGCCGTTTTGAAAACACTCGAGGCGCGTAAAGTGCATCGAGAAGATAGGAAACATTTGAGTCCAAACTTCACCCGCCCCTCTCCTCGCATATGCCACCTTATCGGTTGTCACCGATTTAATTCTCAAACTCAGATATATTATGTCGTTCGACAGTGAGACACACCGAAATTGATCGCAGAATATCGATACACCTCCGCATAGCTCCCCTAAAAAGTTTATTGTGATTGTATACAGAAGAAGGAGTCTCAGTCCACGAAGACAGAATTTTCACTATACTGCCTTTCTCCCGAAAAGTCGGGCCAGGTCGAAAATTTGGAATTTGGGAATATGACAGGCATATCTGGACGTATCTCTACAAAACGGAATTATGTGCATTAAGACATGAGCCGCGAGACCCATTAGAATGTATGCATAACAGGGCCTACGTCATTATACAAGTGGTTCCGTTTGGCAGAAATACGTCCATCTTTGCAGTACTTAGAAGACTATTTTACGAGCGGCCAATCTCATTTTGTCGCTTCACTGACAAAAGGACGTAAGTTGGTTTTCACGTTTGCCCAAAAAAACAAGGAGTTATATCGACTTCTCCCGCACGAAGGAATTTAATTCCATTCCAAGGTTGCAAAATTGACTCAAACAATTCAATTTTTTTCAAAAACATACCAGTGCAATTTTTATTTTTATTTTTTGAATTTTGTTTTTATTTTTGCATGAGGTTAGAGGAAAAATTAGTGAAATAAGCAGTTAAAAATGCCAGGAGTCTTCCGACGAAGATGCAATTTGTGAGGGGAAATCTGGCAACGGTGAAATGTAGGACGGTTTATGTCCATGGAGATTATTAATTTTAGTATTTTGATCCGGGTGATAACTATGTTTAGTACTTCTTTACTTTTATTTGAATTTAAGTAGTCGTCATTCAATTCGCCTATTGGTGGTCCCTACTATTGGGTGACTTTATCTTTTGGAAAACTCACGTCTAGCTTTCTTAAATCAACTTCCAACACAACAAAAATCACTCTCATGAAAAATTTGCGTAAAGGTCTCTTCTCTCGTAAATAGTTCTACATGTATCTGTGTTTATTGTAAAAATTATGTATTTCTCGATCATTTAGAGTCACTAAAGGACGGAGCATTGTCAAATTGGCACCGGGATGGAATAAATTATTGTTCCCACACCAACAAAATTGTAACTGAGACAGAGAGTTTATTTTAGGCCTGAAATCCACCGTGAACATTGAAAGAGCATTGTAAGAACTGCGACTCGTTTTATTTACCGCGCTAAAATAAGGCATTAGAAGATCATCTCAATATGTAGGGTTGTATAGTGTTGAACGTCGAGGGCCAAGCTAGCCCAAAGCGCATTTAAAGCTCCTTCAAATAAATGAATATGCAATTTTTCCCTCTTCCTCGCTGAGTTAGCTGTAGCAACTGAGAGGGCGTTTCTTGCTCTCTGTAGCCCACGGGATACCGTGTCGTGAAAAACATTCTTGATTTTGCTATCCGCATATTGCGCCAGTGCTTTTCTTGACATACTGAGCCTCCGTCGTGAAACTTTATCGCAAAATCAATTTTCGCCGTATTCTTAGACCAGCGTTTTATCACTGTTTCTACATTTTGAACCAATTCGAGATTTTCCGCAGTACGAAGTGATGGTTTAATTTTTCCCATGTTTTGAAAGTGTAAAACACGTTTTAAAATACGTAAATACTTCCAAAATATTTTTGCGAGTTTTGATTTTCCCACTGTAAAAGAATAATTTTATGGAAAATGTTAGATCCAGAATTCATTCTATTACAAATTATCGTGCGTCATATTTGCTTTAGTTGGTAGCAAAAGGTGACACAGATCTGCGACGAGAGGAGTATTTTGGAAACACAAAAATATTCGGTAGTTGTATATTTATATTTATTAGATTGAAAATAGTAGTTCAATATTTCCTTTTTTCTCTCCAGTGAAAAATTCCGAGGTTATTTTAAGACCATCCAGTAGACATAATTGGGAAAGCAGCCGTTTTGTGCTGGTCGACACTTCTTCAAACAGTATTCCGGGAAACCTGCTATTTTCCTCGCATAACGGAAAATGCACTCGGGGAGCGGGGTAACACCGGCGGATTAGAATTCGAGGGGGGGGGGGGG